GGTCATCCTAGATGCCCTTGTTAACAGTACAAGAGCTTGAAGGGGTCATTCCTGGCTCCTTCCATGGGTGTCCTTCCCAGCCGCATGCTGCAGACCTTGAAGACGTTGCGCTCGGTTCCTTTCCCTAGGCATCCCACACAACTGGAAATGGAATACTGTCCCAGAGGTCCTTATGATATCACAGACAGGAGCCTCTGTGCAATTTCCCATGGGTTGCCTGATGCAAATAATATGCCAAGCGTACAAAAGTAAAGGATATGTTTGACTTTTAGTGACCTGTACAGATAGCTTAGGCTATAACCCAGTCTTAAACATGTTCCCAGCAAGAACTTTTCCAAGTGCTGCTCATTATCATGGGCAGACTGAACACAGTGTTCTCTTTATTGATGGGGAATGTTGGATTCTCCTTCCAGCTAGAAACCTATGAAAAGTCTCTCCCTTTTTCAGAGGCCTTCCTGAGTAGCATTCCATAAGCAGCATAGAACTACCAGCTGAAGGAAATAATATCACCTCTCCTCCATATACATGGAAGCATTTTCTGCTGGGTTTTTTGGGTGTGTGGTGGGGGTTGAATTCTGGTCACCTCTATCATTTAAGTCACTATCTGTTCTCTGTTTTCAGTGGCTACTTGGGGGGCCCGAAGTAGGGGCTGGAGAAAGAGCAGAATAATGGCATGGAAGCCCTTGAAGTAGTGGGGGCAATTCACTTGATTAGCATTTACAAAGTAACTGCTGGGCCATGGATCTCTACCTGCAGGGAAGCTACCACCAGTGGCATTTCACTCTGTGCTGACAATAATATGGATTGGTGCTCTATACCTATCAGGCATGCTCAGATTAACACAACTATTTGTCCAAGAGAGTATATTTCCTCAGTTTGTGAAGACTATTTGTAGACCATTTCTTAATGCATTGTTACATAGGAGACTTTCTTTTAATTTGGAAACAGCATTTTATGCAAAAATGTACCTTTGGGGTAAGCAAATTGAGGGCTTTTGAGTGTTGAACTTGCAACATTGTTAAAATTTAGAACTGAAAATGGAACACAAACATAGCATTTTGTTTTTAAAGAACATGGGTTCTTTTGAAATGTAAATGTCAGAATTCTCTTCTTGCAGGTTACAGGCTTTCCAATCCAGATGCCATATCTAAATGTACCATCAGTAATCGACGCTGTTTATCAGACAGGAATTCATTGTTCAGAGGTTCCCAACACAGAATTTGCCCTTGCTGTGCATATTCATCCTTATCCAAATAACATATTATCTGTCTGGATCTACTTAGTATCTTTGGTTCGTCATCAGTGAGCATGCACAAACCCTCTTCTGGAGCTGGATATTTATTGTTACTATGAGAAGCTTGCTGACTGTGAAGGTTGAATTATTTCAAGAAAGAAAGTCATTGGCTTGGATTCAACACAGGATTTCCAGTAAAAGGGGGGTGTTCTGTGGATTGTTCATACTGTTCGGGGGAGGGGGTTGTCCGATCTCTCAGCAGCAGCATTTCTGGGGCTTTTTGGGCTACAGTGGAAAGAGGGAGCAGGGAAGTCAGTGCAATGTCAGAAAGCCAATCTGTCAGCAGAAATTACCACTGGATCCAAGCCATTACTTGTATCCTGAGTCACATTGTCTTTGCAGAGATTGTTTCATAAATGCTTACAATATATTATTTACTAGATATATGCAAGCATGTTGCTTGTCAATTTCTTAAACTTATTGCTCAACTAATTAACAATTTACTTTGCTTGTTTCTGTAACAGTAAACAATTTTTGGCTGCTTTCATATTGGAATTTTCCTCCTATAGCAAGGAGAAAGCTTCCATAATATAACATCCACATGATAACCCTGGCCATTCCAAGCATGCTGTTCCTGGGGCTTCCCCCTTTAAACCTGAGAAAAAAATAAATCTGTTCAAAGAGAAATCTACAGAAGGGCTGTGTGGAAGTGAATAGGTACAGCTGAATTCCAAAATGGCAGGTCATACCTCGCTGTTATGCACCCCTTCCAAGTTATGCTGTGCTACTACAGGGTCCTGGACTATGTGGGGAAGGGTGGGGCCAGCAGCAGCAAAGAACGGATGGGTTCCTACTGCCACCACCACAGTGGTATTGTGTTCGACAACCCCCACCCCACCCCAACCTGGAAGCAGCCTTCATAGATTTTAATGATGGCTAAGAAATAAATGCTCTGCCAGTATACATTGCTATATTAGAACAGTATGGTCAAGTTCCACCTGTTTAACGTGATTGATAGTCATTTATTAAAAATGGTGGTTTGAAGTCATCTGGATGAGCATTCTTTTACCTTTGTGCAGAAAAACATGTTTGTTTTCATTTACCTTGTGTACCAGAAAAACATATTTGAAATTTAAAGAACTTGTCTACATTTTAGTTAACTAAAATAGATAGAATCTGAAAGCAAGAGTTCAGTTTTTTTGTTAACTAAAAGGGCTTGAGCAGACATAGCACTAGTAGCCTATTAAAAAACGAGTTGGCTGCAGACCCCACTGACTCCAGCTCAGCCCCACCCCACCCCCAGCACATGGTTCCCAGATCCAAGGGGATGCTAAGGGATGGTGGGAAGCACCCGTGTCCATGAGTACTTTTCACTTTTAGTTATAAGATCCAGCCCATAGTTTCCTATATTTCCTTGAGAATAAAGTTGCAAGCACAGCTCAGAATGCAAATTCAGCTCAACTGTAATATTCACTTCCCATGCTGATTTCATTAAGTGCTCCAGTGGTTTGTTGCTTTAAAAAAATGTTGAATCACTTAATTGTTCATAGCTTTGTAAAGAACCATTTCCTGACTTTCTTCTTCTCCTTCCCCAAAGAAGAGGATGTTTCAGTGGTAAAGTGTGAGGGTGCTGACTTTCGTTATAGATTCTTTTCAAAGTCCTCTTTCCTTCTTCATTTCCTGCCTCTTTTGTTAAGGTTATAACTGGACTTTTGACTGTATTTTCATCAGGATGTGGGGGACTGGCACTGAGTACACATCACATTCCTAAAACACGAACATTCAAACACAGACTTTGAGAGATTTACTCAAAACTATTTTTATTTTTAAAAAGAGTGCATGGCACTCATCTGGATCCCTTTGTTGTGGATATTTCTCCCAACACACACATTTTAATACCTGCATTCAGAATTTCAAGTAGTGTGTGGCTTCAGTGGAGGTTGATCAAGCCGCATTTTTTTTTAAACAACTGGAAATGGTTCACAGTGCATATTCAGTTGTCAGGATAATGTCAAACTCAAAAGGCTATAAATAAAAGTAGAAAAAAAACACACAACCCAAACTCAATAACATGTAGTGGATCCTTTAACAATTAAGCCTAGTGACTTAAACAAAACACTCAATTCCTGTTTTTTTCTTTGCTGTTTTACTAGACAACTTACCCATCCCTCCCCTACCCATAATTCCAGTGTTAATTATTAACTAATATTTGAATGTAAAAGCCTACAAAGTAGACTCTTCTGATGTATTAGTAATAACTACATTGCCATCTCACACATGGAAGATGAAAGCGAAGCCAATATCAGAATTTTTGAAGCAATCTGCTATTATTTCTAGTCATGGATTGCCACAATACTGTACATTCAAAGCATTATTGAGGTAGTTAATGATGGAGAGATTTTTTAAGTATTGCAAACTGAGATGAATATACTTCCCTTTCAGATGCATTCTCCAGTTTTTCATTCCCAAATATAAAATGAAACACCACAAATTAAACCATTGAACAATGCCTCCCCTCCGCTTTTATCCAACCATATTTTTACCCTCTCAAGGAAGACAGAAAGTTAACAGGGAAATACTAAAATGAGTTTAGGAAAGAAACAGCAAGGGCATTCTCTGTTGTACAAAAGATGCTCCCACTGTGATGTCAAATATCTGTCAAGTCCCCCTGAAAATATTTTTATAGAATAAAATAATTGCCAACACAAGAGGATTGCTTCTCCTCTAACTTAAACAATATTTTCTTGCAGCACATTCACCTCTAAGATCAAGCTATGCCTTTTTCCTCAAAATACCAAGGGTTTGGGAGCAGTCCTTTCTTTTCCAAGGAATGTCTGCCATTAAACAACACTTCTACAATCATGTTCTATCCCAATATTATTTAGAAACAGGTATTACCAACTCTCAGAATGGGAGCATTACCCAACCTAGTCCTCCATGGATTTAGTCTCATCATATAAAGAGTTAAATTACCTACTTGTGCAAGCTGGAGGAAATACTCCATATAATACCTTTACCACCTGTCTGTACCCCCCACTCAAGTTAATTCTGCTTCTGGCAAGAGCACAGAGTACAAATTTAAACATGAAGAGACTACCACAATTCTGATAGTTATGTAATTAGCACCATTAACATAACTGCCTAATTCACACCAGAAGGTATTTTTGAGTCAGTAATAATATGAACACAGAACCCTGCTCGTAGATGTATACAAGTAGGAAACTTAGCTGCCTTGGTATAACCTGAGAACTTTCATTTCTTCTTCCTACCCACTCTCCAGCTGTCACATATAAGTCTGGGTTTCTTATAAGCATTTAAACTGTACCTTCCCCCACATACAAGAACTGAGAATTCATACAATAAAAATTAGACCTGTTTTGATATCTGTTGCGTAAACTAGGGGGAAATCAAACAACGCTCCATCAGCTATGGTTCGTTATTGGCTCCATTTTTAAAATAGCATGCTACTCTTCCATCTTTCATTACAAATCACACTTTGAGATTAAGGGAGTAGTCTGGACGAGTATCTCAACTCCCTTTGGTATTTGCTACTGTACTGATCCTGAGCAAAATGATATACACTAGTATCACAGTAGTTTTTGATAATTCCCTGAGCTTGCATGAAGTTTACCTCTAAACAGTTTCCAAAAACCAAAGATAGAGTAACTTTGAATTCAAAGACATAAAAAAAGCTTAATCCAAGGACATTTTAACACTAAACCCACAACTATAAACAGGGATGAGAACCGAACTACTGATTTAGACCAAGAGGTTCGCTCCTCTCTCCCACATGGCTCTCCACGGTTTGGAAAAGCACTCTTCTCTACCCACGTTGCTCTCCCTTATTTGGAAAAGCATGGCACTTGGTGGACTTTAATGTCTGGTTCAATACTGTATGGAAATGTGTAGAAACAGTGGTCTTCAAAAACTCTCTTCTTTTCCTGGGAAGACCGATCTTGGAGTCAGTCCAGTTTTTGAGGGAAGGCTTCAGCTGAAAACAGAACTTCTGTGCCCCAGCAGTATTTCCCCCCCATCACTGTCAAACAAACATTCCTGTTAACGTGCTCATGTCTGCAGAATCTGTGATCTGAGCTACCGTTCTGAAAGAATTTGTATTCCATCTTTTCCCCTTCCATTATAAAGGATTAATGATAGATTACTGCCCTTATTTACTGGGACGCCAACAGAATGTAAGGTTCTGTGGAATCTACAGTTATCACCTCTCAAAACAAGGGGTAATACAAGGGTAACGTCCAGCAATCTGGTAGCTTCGGTTGTAGGAAACACTCAAACATGGCTTCACTTCTATGGGTACAGCTAACGACACCCCTGTAGCAGTCTGTATATGACCTCGAGCCTGAATACCACCTTGTAAACCGCCCGGGCAAGTCTGCAGTGGGTAAGACGACGTGTGCCCAGATGACACAATCTGCTGACAGTTTTGCTGCTGTCCAGTTTGATGATGATACTGTAGAGGAGTTTGATGTGCTTGAACATACTGGGGGATGTGCTGCTGTAGATGTGTCTGCTGTGGAGGCTGAGGTGCTGTTGTTTGAAATAAACTGTGCGGTGCCGCCTGAGAATTATGTTGTCCTTTTTGCTTGTTGGCTTCCTTTACATCATTATCATGGGCACTAGAATAAAATATATATATATATCAGACTTTATCTCTATCTGGGACCCAAACCCCTCTACTTACATGCATACACATGACAACAGGACAAATATTTCCTTCCAACAAGAGCATGGCACACTCCAGACTGTGCCCCAACCTTGGGGGAGGGGCTGCTACTACGAGGAGGAGTAGAAGAACCCCTGTCCATTTTCAGAGTATTACACAAAGCACTTCAAGTCCCAGCTACAGAATCAATAGTAAACAATAGAATAGTGTCAATGTTCCAATGCACTGATTTTACCACAAAAATGAACACCTTTTTGGCTAAGAGAGGCCAGTGTTGTTAGAACCTTGGTTGACCAGAACTCCATAATCCTCAAGAATTTTGACCTCGAGCAGGCTGCCAAAGGAGTTTTCCAACTACCACCCCAGTGATGACAACAGAAAACCTATGCATGCTCATTGTAAGGGAAGTCTCGTCTCATCTGACACCTCTGATGCAAACAAATGCCCAAGAGAGGCCTCTGTACCCTGTTCCTAGCTCTGCACACCACCCTAAAAGTGCTGAGTACAAAGCCTAGAAACCTGGGGAAACAGTTCATTGGTCTAGATTTTTCTTAGTGACCACATGTGCACGTGCCCCCACCCTTTCCGACTGGTCAAAGATGAACCTCCCCTCCATTAAATAAGGATTAGCAAGGAGGGGGCCTTTGTCTGCTTCCAGCTACAAACCTTGGCTCACTTTGCAGGGAAGGTGAAATGAACAGAGAATCCTTGTAAGTTTGAACTAGTCAGAACCGTACCTTCATTTGCCATTTTCTGCATTTCCTTTCTCCAGTTACCTTGTTTGTTTACATTGTGTACTTAAACTTGTTAACATTTTATCTTAGTTTTGAGACTTCTTTCCCCATGGCCATCTATCATGATTCATGCTACCTTGCATTAGGCTTGCCAAGTCCCCCCGGGGGGCAGGGAAACCCCCACCCGAGAGGCCCGTTACCCGCCGGCGGCGGATCGGGCCCCGGGGGAACCCCACCCCCAAAGCATGCGACATGCCTGGCGTCAGCACGTCACCTGGAAGTGATGGAATTGCGTCGGGCACGTTGGGGGCGGGGCCACAATAATCTGAGGGAAAACTTTATGGTTTTCCCTCAGATTGTGGCCCCGCCCCCAACGTGCCCAACGTGATTGCGTTACTTCTGGGTGATGTAATTGCAGCACGCGCTTCCCGTGAGCACATGGACTCCCGGACCAGCGCTGGATTTCCCCACTCTTCATAAGGTAGGACTTGGCAACCCTACCTTGCATACAGGAAAGCTTGAGGAGGGAGAGGGAGTTGCCTTATGGGAGACAAAGAACATACCCAGGTTTGCCTTGTAGGAGAGAGGAGGGGCTGTATCATACATATGCACTCTCTAGAAGTAAGGTTCTAGAACTGTTCTGGGGCAGTCCATCAATGCTATAAAGAGTTATCACCCCCCCCCCAATGGTGGCAGTACAACCCAGAAGCAGAGTGTCCAAAGGCACTGTTGTGGAGGCCTGTAGCCAGGATTTTGTGGCTTGTGGGGCAATTTTTTTTCTGGTGGGGCTGAAGTTCTCAGTGCAGAAAGAAAAGCCATTTAGACAACAGAAAGCTGTTACCAAGATAGATCTCTAAACTACAAGCTGTCAGCCACTTTAGATGACAGTTCTCAGCTGCTGTAAGTTAATTACTCCCGTCAGCCTAAGCAACAATGCTGATAACAAGCCGGCAGGTGGGGGTGATGACTTCTATAGTCAAGAAAGCTAACACTTAGACAGAAAAACTCTCTTAAAGGAGACCAGTTTTTTAGCACAGAGTTAGAAGGGATCATAAGAACATAAGAGATGCCAATGTTGGATCAGGCCAAAGGCCCATCCAGTCCAACACTCTGTATCACACAGTGGCCAGAAATACCAGTGCCATCAGGAGGTCCACCAGTGGGGCCAGGACATTAGAAGCCCTCCCACTGTTGACCCCCCCCAAGCACCAAGATGACAGAGCATCACTTGCCCCAGAGTCCCTATCTATACCTTGTGGCTAATAGCCACTGATGGACCTCTAAGACAGAGCATCACTTGCCCCAGAGTCCCTATCTATACCTTGTGGCTAATAGCCACTGATGGATCCTAGAGGCTACCAACTCCAACCCCCTTGCTCAGTGCGGGAATTAGTCAACTACAGCACCACACTCTGCTTAAAGGAGCATGTTTTAAAATGATTGAAAAAAAGCATTAACAGGAGAAATTCTTGTGAGTCTGTGCCTTTAAGAAAGGGGACAGAGCCCACAAAAGCCCCACTTGGCTACGGACCTGGTGTTGTGCATACAGCCTCTTTAAATGTATGCACCTAACAGTGAATCCTGTGCTCGTTTACAAAATGAACTTATACTACCACTTAATAGGTTATTTGTATACTTATAAAGTGGCCTGAGTTAGATCATTAGAACAATGAGGGATAAGAAGGAGCTTCAGCTACATAGCCACCACAAAAGGCCTCCCTGGGGCCTTTCAGGTTGGGAAGATGATGCTGGGAGGGCTAGAAGCTTCTCCCCCCAACACCATGGTCCCAAGCCAAATCAGGGCCCTGTGGCACTTGGGAAATGAATTTCCAGCAGCTGCTGCTTGACTAAGGGGGAAAAGAGTTGGGTTGAGGAAATCCCAACTGAATTGGTTAAAAATGTAATGTCTAATTAGCCAGGCTAGCAGTGACAAGGGCCAGGGCCTTCTCCATGGTGGCTCCATACTGGTGGAATGAGCTCCCAGAAGACATCAGGACCCTGTGGGACCTTTTGCAGTTCCACAGGGCCTGTAAAACGGAGATCTTCAACCAGGTCTTCGATTAGGAAGCCACATCCATCTACCTGAGGCCCTGGCCCCAATATTAACAATATACTTCAACATTAACATCTATATTATACCAACTGAATAGCCTGTGCTCAGACGATACAACCCAGATTATGTTGTCAGCTGACTGTTGGATGCCCGCCATCGTTATATTGCACTAGCACTTTACGTATTGTTTTAGATCTATTTTATTGCAATTTTAATAATTTAACTGTTTTATCTTGTTATAATATTATGTAAGCCGGCCTGAGCCTGCTTTGGCGGGGAGGGCGGGATATAAACCTTATGCAGTTCTGCAGGGCCTGCAAGACGGAGCTCTTCCGCCAGGCTTTTGCATAGGGGCCGTCGCTGCCACCACCACCAACGGTGGCAATACCATCGGGACTAGGAATCGCCCTGGAAGTTCCGCCACAAACCGCGTGGCATTGATAATGCGGGACTGGCTTTAACCATCTGCTGGACAGTGTCACCCCATTGGGGAGGATTTGTAGATGCCATCAAACCACTTAAGACCATCTGTTTACCAAAAAAGCACTTTATTATTGTTATTGTTGTTATTATCCATGATTTTATTTTTTTATCTGTTTTTATGTATGGGCATATGCCCCTTGTAAGCCGCCCTGAGCCCACTTGCGGGGAGGGCGGGGTATAAATGTTTAAATAAATAAATAAAATAAATAAATTAAATACTACGTGAATAGTGAAAACTAGGCAAAATGAAGCCTTGTGTATTTAACACCTTGCCATTTTCCCTATGCCCCAGTATAAGACATGATTTCGACACCACTATAAAAAACTTACACCAATAGTCGTTCAATGCAGGGCACCAGGATAAAAAACTTACACCAATACACTATAAAAAACTTACACCAATAGTCGTTCAATGCAGGGCACCAGGAAATCCCAGGAATAAGCAGTTAGACGATGGAGTCGCACTGGCCATGTTGGAGAAAGACGCAAGATAATCCTTGAAGAAGCCACACACGCAGCAGCCACTAACGAAGGAGCATAATTTAAAAATGCATGATCTGGAGAGACATCGGAGGATCACGGTTAAGTCAAACACTGTATTAGCTGTGTACCTAAGCAGCTATAGGCACTTTAGAACAAAGCCATGAAAACGCACCTTGCAGAGATACTTCCAAAAAGTAGTCGGCATATTTTGCCATATACAGCTTTGTCTTTTCCAAGCAAACCATTGGCCACCCATCATGGAGATCTGACTCGTGAACGGCAATGGAGAGATAATAGTCAATGAAGTGAGCAGCAGTTGGAAGGCAGAGATTCCACTGAAAGGTTTCTAACAGCAGCAGCTCCATGTGCAGTAAATTCTGTTTCGTTAATACCAGGTTCATGTTAGTCATACAGCCCAAGCTGTTCAGCTGTTCAAGTTTAGGCACACTGTCTTCTTTCTCTTCAAATTTGCCTTGAGGAAAATGAGAAGGTGAAATACCATTACAGCATTACTGTGCAGATGCTTTGATCTCCTATACAGAACTCATATCTATATAAGACACGTATCTTTGGGGGGGGGGGTTTAAAGGGAAAACACATTGGGTTGGGTCCAGCCAAAATTGGAATTTTTCATCAATTCCCTCTTCCCGCTGTAGACACCCCTCAGGGCAATCCTCACAGCCCCCCACCCCCAAGTTAGGTTCTTCTGATAGAAGCTTAGTCTTGCAACAAAAGAAGCTTTTGTTACCTAGGATTAATTAACTGCTATCACATCCTGCACAGAGCTGCTGTTGGTGTTTCATCTCAGCACTTCATACCAAGAAACTGCAGAATATGATGGGGTACAATCCAGGATGACTATATTACAAGTGAGCTAATTGTTTTTGTTTATTTATCTAATTAAAACTTTTTAAAATCCTGCCCTACCCAAAGCTTGAGGATGGCTAAGAGTTTAAAACATCATAAGATAAGAATTTACATGCTGACTGACAGTACATATAAAAATAAACCAGTAGTGCTGCCAGGGCTGGACTTTGGGGCAGACGTCCAAGGCTCTGGTTCACAGGCTGAGCAGCCCTCCTTTGCACTGTAGCCACATCTGAAGCATACATGGCCATCTAAATAAGACCAGTTGCAATGCAGTAATGCAGCCAGAGGTTTTGGTGGTGTGAATCAGCATTGCCTGGTCAGCTGCCGGACATTTCTTGATGAAATGCAAATGGAAAAGGGCACTTTTGGCTACATTCTGAACTTGTTTTTCAGAAAGCAGGAGCAGTTCTGGAAGGATACTAAGACATTTCACTTGCTCCAACAATGTAAGATAGGAAGATCAATCGCCTCTAGCACACTGGCACTCCTAACCAGCAACCCTTCTACCTTAGGCAGAGACAGCTGCATCTGCAGGATTACTTAATGACATTTAGAACTAGGCATCACCAACATATTGATGTCACCTTATTCCCAAAGCACTAGATCAGGGGTCAGCAACCTTTCATACTTAGAGCCAAACCACATCGAAATTCAGATGAAGTAACCAGTACAGAGCCAGTCAATATTAAAAAGCCCACATAACTGAACATACATAACAATATTACTCAAGGGTCCCCAACCTTTTTGAGCCTGCGGCACCTTTGAATCCTGACACAGTGTGGTGAGTGCAGACACAAAATAGCACAGGAGGTAGAACCGGCTACAAAACAGTTGCCCCAGCTTAGCTTCAGTCATGCAGTGAAGACCTTTGTGCTATAATGGCAGCTGCTGCCAAAGCAACATTCCTAAAAGTTTGCACAGCCAAGCAAATCTCCAGGGGCCACCCAAAGCCCCACCTGGCCCCACCTACTTAAAAAAAAACCCTTGGCAGGTGCCAGAAAAGGTGTTGCCAGGCACTAAGCTGCCCACAGGCACCATGTCAGGGACCCCTGATATTGCTGATAACCAGGGGTCATTTGGGGGGGGGGACGCGGGGGGACACCATCCCCCCGGGTGAGGTGCGGGAGGGCGGGGCCTGGAGCTCCCTGCTGGTGCCCACTGGAGGTCGCCGCCGGCTGTGGGGAGGACACACTTCCGGTGATGTCAGGGGGTGTGGCATATGCTAATGAGTTATGCTAATGAGTCCCCCTAGCTCTTTTTCTACGAAATGACCCCTGCTGATAACTAACTAATTAATTAATCATCCACAATTTCCCCAGACTAGGCATTGGTTCTTGTGGGTTGTATATTAGGAAGCTGCGCACCCAGCATTTCATAATTAAGTACACACCGGAGCATGCTGCACAGTTGCTTTAGTACACTTCCATAAATCTGTGCATGGTGCACACTTGGATTCTTGGCAATTGTTCACCTCTGTCTTTTCCCTTTTCTGTAAGGGAAGCTATTCTAGGAAGCTATTTAGTTTCATTAAAAACACTTCCTGTCATTCCCTTCATGTACTAGTTATTCTAGCATCCCACCTATCCCTCCAATACACCTTATAGATTTCATTTTGTTTGTTTTATACGGTTCTGCACTGACCCACAAATAGCTCCAGAGACAGAGGTTGCAGACCCCTCATCTAGATTATTTCCTGGTGTCGGAATAAACATGCAGTGACTGCTGTGGGGAGGAGGAAAGAAAGAGGCAAAAGTGCCTTCTCCCTCTTATGCCAATGTAGCTCCACCAATGGAAGAGACAACAAGGACAGCTTCATTTCCTTACCCCTCCCCATTACAGCCTTCTGACCCACATGGCTTACTTAACAGTCCACATGGGTCCTAAAATCCTCGGAATAAACTTTCCTAAGTTAGAAAGGACAGCTGTGGAGAGGGCAAAATGCAAAGGATCTATGACCAGCAGCACCTTCTATTGATGGATCTATCACTGGATCCATCTGACCCATCACCACAATACTTCTTTTGGTAGCTCCACTAACTTTATACTCAGAATCAATAATAATTGTTGATGTGACAATCAGAAAACTATATGTTGTCGAAGGCTTTCACTGCTGGAGTTCATTAGTTGCTGTAGATTTTCCGAGTTGTGTGGCCGTGGTCTTGGCACTGTAGAACCTACAATGTAGGTTCCTAGGTTATGTAAGGTTCCTAGGTAATGTAATCCTAGGTAATGTAAGGCTTCCGATCTCCTGTAGGCAATTATTCTTTTATCAATCATAAAGCTTCCTTACCTAATCAATCACAACATGTAAGGATCATGGAAGAATGCTATGTCCAAAGATGTCTATTTACTACAGAAAGAGCCGCAGTGATAAGACTTTTTATGATCAGTACTTAATTCATTAAAAACTAACTCCAATAATTTTAGGATATCTGCCTTCCAATAAGTCAAGAACTAAAGCACTCATTTGTTAAGCTAAAGTAACTCCAATCAGTTATCTCATACTTACTCGCTAAAAGCAAGCAGGAAAGAGCAACCACATGTAGCTGTTGAATGGATATGTCATAACGATCCATGAAGAGGTCCAGCAGGTAAACAGCAAGATGTCGGGCAGCAGGACAGAGTCTGAAGCGATTGCTCACAATGGCAATCAAGTCTGCAAAATATCTTCTCAGGTTTAACTGGGGAGACTGGCCTTTATAGGAGGGAAGCTTCAGCTCCTAAGTGGAGAACAATGGGTACTTAAACACTGCCACCACTAAGGTCAATCATAGGCACTTTATTAAAATATATATGGTTAAAGAAGTTGCCAGGTCACCCTCCCCCCCGGACACCAACAGAGGATGGGGGGTAGGGTTGCCAGATCCAGTTTGGGAAACTGGATGGAGCCCGGGGAGGACAGAGACCTCAGTGGCATACAATGCCATACAGTCCACCCTCCAAAGCATCCCTTTTCTCCAGGGGAACTAATCTCTGTAGTCTGGAGATAAGCTGTAAAACCAGGGGATCCTCAGGTCCCAACTGGAGGCTGGCATCTCTAGAACCAAGGGTCACTAGACGTAAAATATCTTTAGCCCAATACTGGCGGTTCTTAATTGTGAGAAAACATTTATTGCCTCAGAAGCATAATGAGGTTGTATTACACATAACTGTGATGACAATATCGTTTCAGGGAGATCCTTGAAACAGACTGAATATCCAACTGAAGAAGAATGGCTAGAAAAGATCTGGTGATTTTACTATTATGGCTAAACAGTGAGCAAGTATGCTGGGGGGGGAAGGCAAGAAATGGGTAACATGAAGAAAAGCTGGTTTAACCTGTGTCAATTCAAGAGATCAAATTATATACAAAGACTGAATTTCAGTATTTTTACTCTGTTTTATTTAACTAGTTTTATTCTAGCTCGCCACCTAGTGGTGCATAACACTAAAGAGCTAGAACTTCTGGCTGCCAGACAATCTTAGGATCTCCTGGCTATTCTACACACAACGCCATATGATAATATTCTTTCCTCAAAGATACTTCTATGAAGAGTATGGAATATACTTTTTTTAAAAAGCAGACAGCTTGGATGATAGTTGTATAACCACCCCTACCCAATCCAAAGCTAAGTTATTTACTTAGTGGCCGCAATGTCCCAAATCATTAGTTTTTCCAATCATTTTGACAACATCTTCAAACTCATTCCAGGTCTAGTAAGAAGTAAAGGTGTGCTTATGGTGGGAGAGTCCTGCTTAAGGCTTTAGTAATTGTGCTAGGTAGTTTCAGTGGGTAGCTATGTTGGTATGCAATAGCACAGCTAGATTTGAGTCCAGTAGAACCTTAAAGGCCAACAAGATTTGGGGAGTATAAGCTTTTGAGAGTGAAAGCTCCCTTCATCAGATACCCTGATAACAGTTGCTCACTCTGATGGAAGGGAGCTTTCATTCTCAAAAGCTTATACCCCCAACTCTTGTTTGTATCTAGCTGTGCTAGGAAGGGATGTCCAGTTCAGATGAATGGTAACCACCAGCACTTTTGAAACATGCTTTTGGTTTCCACTATAAAACACGTTGACCCAACCATCTGACTTTACGGTATGATTCAGTCCCTATTATGCTTTGTAGGGAAGGGTTAAGAGCTAGTTAACTGCTCTGGCAACCTAATCCAGTCAGGTGTGTCGACAACACATCACAGTTTTGCCAGTGAAAAACCAGGTAGAATTATTCGCTACTGAGAAGAGGAATCTGTAATTCACATAATCAAAAAATACTATTTAATTAATGGGGGGCCTCGTTTTTCTCCCCAATGAAGACCCAAAGTGGCTGACATTGCTCTCCTCTCCTCCAGTTTATCCTCACAACAACCCAGTGAGGTCGGCTGAAAGTGTGTGACTGGCCCAAGATCCCCCGATCAGCTTCTGTGGCACAATTGGGGATTCAAACCTGGGTCTCCTAGATATTAGTCTGACTCTCTTAAACCACTGCAGTACCCTTCAATTCCTTGAATGGAATAATTACAACCAAAACGGATGTAAAGTGGAATAGATCCCACATTTCGAGGCTTTGGTTGGATTTATAGCTCATTGAGTTAGCGTTCTTAGTTTGCACTGGGATCAAGAAGCCCTTCAAAGATACCAAAACAACAGAGGACATAAATACCCAGAATGCACAAAACGCTTGTGCTTAAATGAAAGTACGCTGGTTTCACTTCAATAGGTTTCATAACCCACTATTCAACACTATCTCTGACAAAGTATATATTTTGTAGGTGTATACTTAGAGGTATATGTCCTATAAACCTTCATCTTTAACATTTTTTGTTCAACCCAGTTTTTTTAAAGCAACCATTAAGTATATGCTGAGGATTTCCCCCGTCTTTCACTCAAAAATATAGCTTTATTCTGCTAGATGTGTTCAGGAATCAGCGTGTTTTATTTCTGCATGTTGAAGAGATCACACTTCTGTTCAGCCATACAGACAAAGATGTCTACTTATAGGGAAGTTCTGTTTAACTCAATGGGTCTGCTTAACTCAACAGGACTGACTTCTGAGTAAATATGTTTAGGATCACGCTGAAGGTGGCACGTTTTCCCCTTTCAAAAGGAATTCTCTGAAGGCTCAAAATACACACTTTAAGGTCTCCAGATATTTGCTAACAGTACTCATTCCAGTTCAGAATACTGCCTTGATTAAGCATCACTTGAACTTTGTAGCAGTGACAATCACAGCTGGGAAAGCATTTGTATGATCAGAGGCAGCTACATACCATAGGGTTAAGGAAGGAGTGGAAATGTTTACACAGTTAACAGAACTTAATCAGTAGGGTAGGCTGAACTCTGGTAATTCAAATTGCCACTGTTCTTCTGAAAAGATTCTTGTGCCCTTACTTCAGATGAGGCAGGATTCCAACCGATACAGCTTCCCCTATGTCTGAAACTGCATCTCTTGAATTCCTACCAGTCTCATCACTATTAAAAGTGCAGGAGCCCTGTGAGAAAATGTGGCAATACTAAGTTCAGGAGTACGTGACATTTATTTAAAAAAAAAAGGGGGGGGGGAACGCTTCAAATCTAGTGATGATTTCACAGGCAAAGACAAAGATCTCCCAGCCTTTTGCATTTATTCTTTTATGCACTGCTGGAATTTGGTCATTTTTGCAGAGCAACAAATGTTAGCAGTTTCCTCCCTGATCTTTTGAATAAGACTGTTGTATTTTTATTGTCGTCTGCCTCCAGGACAGGAGACAAAGGGAGACCTCAATAGGGACAGCAATTTCCGAGTGGGAGCCACAGCATTAGCCAGCTGTCTAACATCCATTTAACGGCCACAGTCCAGCCACTCCCACAGTCGCTCTTATGCCACAGCAACCCACACTTCATACTTTAATCACCCTTCATGCACTTCAGTCACATCCCCGTGAAAATGTGTTGCACAGCCCAGTTAAACCAGCCTCTGGCTTCCATTGAGCTGAAGGGGGCGGGGGAAACACATAAGACGCTGCCCCTTTTCATGTAAAGAACATGGAATGACTCTGAAATAAAGGATGCTTCATAAATCAAGGCCTGTCTGAGCAGGAATTAACCACTTAAGGGAACCATAAGCTCGGAATAATAGAAAGAAACTAAACAGATTTTTAATTTAAATAAAAAAAAAAAACTTCAGAATTAAGGAGTCTCACTAGAACATGCCCTTAGACCAAGGAAACAAAACTTAAAGACATTCAATACAAAAGCAGAAATTAACTCCTTAAAGATGACACCCTGCCACACGTACTTTCCTTACAGGTGCTGGAAAGATTTTTGCATAATGACTTCAGCCAATCTCCCTTTTCTCATGAAGAAAATTCCAGCCTCCTTATGCAGAAGGAGCCATTTGACTTTAAAACGCTTGCAACGTAAGTCTCCCAACTGGGCACCCTGAGTGGAACAACACCCTGGATTTGTGAGATCGGAGGTCAAGTCCAACCCACCTTTAGCTATGGTTATATTTTATGGCGTTGTGCAAAGTAGGTTTTTACTTGGGCCCCAATCCAAAGAAAGGTGCAATCTGATCCTGCGCAGAGTTAGGCACACCTAAGCACACTCGCACTTGGGTGTGCTTAACTCTGTTAAGGATTACAGCCCAAATAATACATGCGTTGTGAAGCACAGGAAGGTTGAAATATAATTCAGCCTTCCTACACTGATATCAATTGAGTGAGAAACACATCCACGAGCATTTAAAACTGGCCTGATTGTCACACGTGCACGCTGACAGTGGGAGAACAGCTGAAAAGTGCTTTCAGCAGCATGCATGTGTTCATCATAAATTACCCTTACTTAACCTGTCCTACGGAAATCAAAGGGGCAAATTATTGTAACTTAATCCCTGTTTAATGGAACTGAAGAATGACTCTCATTGCATTAGGGCTTCGGAAATACCCTCCCCTCCCTTGCATCTGCGTTCAGGATTGCACCCGCTGCCTCTGTTTCCCCATTTGGGAACAATCAAGACTTAACTCCTCAAGCTGTTGCTTGCAAGGGCAAACTTTTCAAAGAAGAGAACATCATGCCTCCAGCACCACAATCCCAAGGCCAAATGGCAGTTTCATGAAACAGTTGTCACCAGGTCCAGAACAGGGTGCCTTCCCCCAATAATTTTTGCAGAGCCCCCACCCCCACATGTGTACATGTAAGGAACCAGCTTATAAATCAAAGGATCAAGTGACTACAGAGCATGGTCTTGTCACCGACTATAAAAGTTTTGGGACAAAAAGGCCAGTAATTTGTCTTATCCTTTGATGTCCCACTGCAAGGGGGGGGGGAGAGTTCGGGCAGCTGTTTCACCCTTTCCTGCGGAAGCGCAAACTGTCACTCAGACAGAGGCAACCTTGACTCCCAGCCGGAGCCCACAGTCTACCCTCTCCCAGCAGCAGATGTGCCCTGCTTTAGGGAGTCCAAGGGCTGCGGCGGGCAGCGATCGGGCCCCCAGCCGGGCGTTTTTATTACCTTATAGCGAAGCGCTTGGTGGATGTCGGCGGCCAGCTGTCCTTTCCACCACTGCCCCTCTAGCTCCATGGGACGGGGTGAGGCGGCAGACAGTCAACAGGGGGGCAGCGGCAGCCCCGATGCCTGCAAGGGAGAAACGGAAGCAGCACTGACTCAGAACAGCTCCGGGCTGAGTTTAAGCCTCCCCGACTCCCAAGAGGCGGGCGGCGGCGGCAGCCGTTTCCTCCTCCTCCTCCGTTTGCGCTCGCTTAAAAGCAATCAGGGACCACTCGTCCCTTCCACACACCCCCTTCCAAGTGAGCTCCAAGATCCCAGCTGTCCGAGGAGGAGGCCGGCCGATCTGCATTTGGGGCCACACACAGCTGCTGCCATTCAATGCATGTTAACG